TTACTTAAACTCTGTGTCAGTTTCCCTATAAGTGTAAGGGGCACATCACCTAACTCATACTGTTTTAAAATACAAATGAGATAATATATGGGAAGATCCAGGCACAAACTAGATATCACCAAGTACTCACTTCTTTTGAACTATTTTTTAAAAATATTTTTTTATTGATTTCAGAGAGGAAGGGAGAGGAAGAGAGAGATAGAAACATCAATGATGAGAGAGAATCACTGTTCAGCTGCCTCTTGCATGCCCCACACTGGGGATTGAGCCTGCAACCCAGGCACATGCCCTGACTGAGAATCGAACTGTGACCTCCAGGTTCATAGGTCGATGCTCAACCACTGTGCCACTCCGGCTGGGCTGAACTATTTTTTTACAGATAATTTCCATTTGCAAAGATAATGCATGTCAATTAGTGACTATGGGAAATATGAATACACCAAAAGGAAAAAGTTAAAACCACCTCTAATTCTATCATCCAAAGGGAATTGTTGGTAGTACTATAATAATTGTCCTGTCAGGTTTTTTATGTATTATTGTTATTATTAAAATATATTTTTATTGATTTTCAGAGAGGAAGGGAGTGGGAGAGAGAGACAAAAACATCAATGATGAGAGAGAATCATTGATCGACTGCCTCCTGCACACCCCACACTGGGGATCAAGCCCGCCACCTGAACATGTGCCCTTGACCGGAATGGAACCCAGGACCCTTCTATCTGCAGGCTGAGGTTCTTTCTATTGAGCCAAACCAGCTAGGGCATGTGTATTATTATTTTTTAAAGCAAAAATGGAATCCTACTACCATGTGGTCTTACACCTACTCTTTTCACTTATGAGTATTCATATCATCTCATGTCTTTAAATGGTCTTCTACAGCATCATTTTTTAAAAAATGTGTGGCATAGCGCCCTACCATATGGCTGTACCATCATTTATTTAACAAATCTCATATTGTTGGGCATTTTCACTGCTATAAACCATGCCAAAGCGAATGTCCTTTATTACTCACCTATGTTGAATTTCCTGAAGGAGAATTGTTGGTCCGTACTGACAGCCTTTCCAACCCTTCCTTACAGTTTACATGCCCACCTGCCAAGTCCAACAATGCCGGTGATCTTAATGGCAGGTCAACCCTAGGTTTCCTCACTTCTTTTTCTCTCCAGCAGTTGTAATCTGATCGCTTTCTCTCCTCCACTCTAGAAATATGTCTGTCCAAATACATAAATTTGGCCTCCCAGCCTCCCAAGGCCTTTTCTTCCGTCTTGTTCTGGAAACACAAGCTCTATTATCTACTGCCGATTTTTTCATCCCAGCCACGGAGACTTGTCTCCCAGAGGAACCATGATAATTAGTTAGATGGCTATTTATCTGCTATTGGTTACATGTCCCAAATCTCATCAGCCTTGTCCACAAATCTCATCTAGGGTTCTTTCCTGAGAAGATTGCCACAGGGAATGCCATTCATTTGCTGTTGACACTCCTGGTTTCCACTTCCGAGAGTGAGACTCCGGCTTTGTCTCTAAAGGCAGGGGTGGGGAGGAGGACATTTTATCAAAGCTGAAAGTAGCAAATTGGGTTCCAGGGACAAATAGCAGGAAATGAAGGTTCAGATCAAAGGAAGGGCACCCTTGCGGGGAGGGGGATGGAGAAAGCAGAGGCCCCTGTTCACATGTGCATTCCCTGGCTCTGGCCCCACATCACTCCCACCTCTGCTTCTATCATCAAATCTGCCTCTCTGCCTCCTTTGCTTTGCAAGGATCCCTGTGATTACATTAGGCCCACCCAAATAATTCAGGATAATCTCCCATCTCAAAATTCTTAGTTTAACCAAGCTGGCACCTTTTGCCAAGTAAGGTCACGTAATCATAGGTTCTTTGGATTAGGACTTGGACAGATTTGGGGTCATTATTCTGTCCACTTCACCTGGGCAAGCCACTTTCCCTCTCTGGCCTCATTTTCTCACCTGCAAATTGTGAGTCTTTGGCAAAAACGCTCTCCAGGGTCCCTTTGTGGTTTGGCTGGTGGAACCATTTTAAAATGTGAAAGGACTGAGGTGTAGGAACCGCACTGAAATTCTCCTGCGTTTCCCTCATTCTTCCTCTGGGACTCTGCCCTCTGCCCCAAGTGCTACTGATGTCATGTGTACTTATGTTTCTATTGTTTGGACAAGTCTACAGAGTTCTCACTATGTGGAGGGTAACCTCTATTTTATAGAGGCACAGAGAGGTTGAGTAACTTGCACAAGGTCACAGAGCAGCAGGGCTGAGGTCAAACCTCGGCTGTCTGACTGTAAAGCCTGCACACTCTTAACCACTGGTGGCCCAGCCTCTCCTCAAAACCCTTTACCCAGTCATACAGCCATTGCTTAAATCTCCTCTAGACTGTGAGCAATTCTAGCACAGGAGCCTTGTCTAATTCTATGACTCTTGGCCTGACACACAAATAAATGAAAAAATGAATGAATGGATGAATGAATCAGAGCCATGGTAGCAGGACATAATAATAAACACTTATGGGACACTTCAAACCAGTGTGAGCACTGTAAGGCAGGTACTATTACTCCCATTTTACAGACAAATAAACTGCAGCAGAAAAAGGATTAGTGACTTGCCCAAGGTCAAGAACTGGATTTGAGCTGAGATCTGCTTGACTTTCACGTTTGTATCATGAAGGTCAGCATGAACTCCCTGAGGCCCGGGTGTTTGCAATGGGAACCGCCCTAGCTGGGTATCTCAGTTGGTTAGAGCACTGTCCCGGTGCGCCAGGGTTTCGGGTTCGATCCCTGTCAGGGCACATACAAGAATCAATGAATGAATGCATGAATAAGTGGAACAACAATTGATGTTTCTCTATCTCCCTTCCTCTCTCTCTCAAATCAATAAATAAAATTAAAAAATAGTAAATAAAGTTGGGACCATGTATGACTCTAGACAACCAAAGAGAAGGAAAAAAAACAAAGAAACATTTTACTGAGCAACTACTACATGCCAGGGCCTTGGTGCCAGGTCCTCAGAACAACCTTAATGTCCTATTTCACAAATGAGGAAACTAAGGTTAAGAGAGATTACTGGTAGATCCAGGATGCACAACTAGGTCTAACTCCAAAATTCATGATCTTTCCACTATCGCTAGGCTGCTGGGCCTCAGTTCTGTCATCGTAGAATGAAGGAATGAGGTGATCTCTGAGCTCCAATTCTGCTTAGCTTTTAAAAGCCAGCATTAACTGTGCGCTTATTGCATGCCAGGCACTGAGCTAACTTCACATACATTATGTAATTTCATCCTCACAACACTCTCTGAGGTGCTCCTATTATTATTTCCACTTTAGAAATGGGGAAACTGGGGCTCAGACATACAGATTTTGTCCAAGGTTATATATAGCCACCATGAGGCCCAGCCTGAGTTTTAACTGAGGCTTGTTTGATTCTTAAGCCAAACTCTTACCCAGACCCTACAGCGGTCTTGGACAGCCTTTGGAGTGAGAACATCCTGTGTTCCTGCAGGATTAGAACAAGGCTGGAGCAGACGTGGGATGAGTTCCTCAGTGCGTGGGCCCCTCTTCCTTGGGATTTCAAAGACTCACTTCAGTGAAGTTCTGTTGGAGTCAAAAGGTGACATCCTTCCGTGGACCATTGGCTGAGGCTCAGAGTCCAGCCCTGGCACCTCCAGGCCTGGCTGTTTTCTCTGATCTTGTTGTCAAGGCAACCCTGGCTGGCTCTGTGGCTCTGGAGTGATTCTCCCTCTTGCTTCCTTGTCTTGTCCACTTTCCAAGACAACACATGAGAGATGGTAGGTCCAAGTGGCCCACTTGTCAATGTTCGAAGACAATGCTGACTTGAATTAAAAAGTGTCCAGGATCTTCAGGGCCTCAAACAGAAAGAATTATATTCTCTAAACACTCTGAGAGCAGAAGCTGTCTGTCTCATTCACAGCTGCGCCCTACATATAGCCTCCCAAGGTTCCACCTCCTCCTGGAACAAAGCAGGTGCTCAGTAAATGTTGAATGGAGGAACTAATTATGAAAAGGGGCTCCCTAACGCAATCAGCCGGAAAACGGGGGTAGCATGATGGGCTCAGATTTGTAGTAGCCCCCAGCAAAAAGTACATGTGTGTATACATGTGTGTGTCATGTGCCCCAAAGTAATGGCTCAACAACCCTTGTGATGTGCTATCCATCTCCTCTTCTTTCTACATCTGTGATCTGGAGCTGTCAATGTATAGCGTTCCTGCACAGCCCACCTGGGAATTTTGGCCTGAAGAATTTCTTCTTTCCCTCCCCATCTCATTTATTCATATATTCATATCCATTCTCTCTCTCTCTCTCTCTCTCTCTCTCTCTCTCTCTCTCTCTCTCTCCCCCCCCCCCCTAAAATTAACCATCTTAACCATTTTAAAATGTACAGTTCAGTAATGTTATGTATATTCAGCCTGTCATGCAACCAATCTCCAGAACCTTTCCATCTTGCAAAATTGACTCTGGCTTGTGTTGTCCCATTTTCATGGACTATCTTGGATTTTAGCTACAAATATATAGATAGTAGGTTTCAAACTCTTTAGTGAGTCTCAGTGTGGTCAGGACAGTATTGGTGCTCAGTATATGTCCACTGGTTAATTGATTTTGCTCTGTTTTATTTTTTCCTACGTGCTACAATTTCTTCGTTTAAGGGCAAGTTTAGTTTTATGATGCACCTGACAATTGTAAGTACTTCTCGACTGCCCTCTCATGGAAAGATGAAGAAGTGAAACTCGGAACAATGTTCATCGTTTATGCTGGAATGAAGTGGCCCTTTTTTCCTAACTCCCTGGACTTTACACCATGCAAAATTGTGATCGATCCAAAGTTGTCAATTTATCTTCACCTTATAGATGAAGTTGACATATAGAACAGTGGTGAATGACCAGTTTAAAACACTTTTTAATCCGTTGCAAACCAATCCATTTGTAAAATATAATAAAAATGAATCCATAGATATATTACATTTAAAAACAAAGACATACAAAACAGAAATCTAATTTTTATTATCAGATTCAACAGGCAAAATTACATTCCAATAAATATAATCAGAACAACAGGCAAAATTACATTCCAATAAATATAATCAGAACATAACAGGGGAAAAATAACATAATTGCATAATCTGTGTGTTGTTCATTGAATGTGCATACTATAGGTGGTTAATACAGAGAATCGCTTCTATGCTAATAACTTTTGGTGTTCTGCAATCATAACTAAACAACAAATTCGAAGTAAAAGGTAGTGTTTCTTCACTTTGAATGAATACCATATTTATTAACATGAAGATTTTTTTAATAGACAAATCCCTATAAAGAGAAAGAAAGTTCCTTTGTGTTCCTTCCCAGTTCCCTCCTAACCTCCCCGAAGCAATCACTTTTCTGATTTTTTTCCATCATAAATCTGTTTCACTTGTCCTAGAACTTCATTTTTGAGATTCATCTATGTCATTGCATCTATCAGTAGTTCATTTCTTTTTATTGTCAATAAAAAGATATACCTCAATTTATTGATTGAGTCATCAGTTGATAGGTATTTGTGTTGTTTCCAGTTTGGGACCATTGTAAATAAAAATCATTGAGGACAAGTATGTCCTCGTATGTTTATCTTAGGCTTAGATCATAGGATAGATGCATATTTAGTTTTATAAGAAAGTAAAGTGATTGTATCACATTACGTTTCTATCTTAAATGTGAAAGAGTTTCAGTTTGCTGAGGAGAGAGAGAGAGAGAGAGAGAGAGAGAGAGAGAGAGAGAGAGAGAGACAGAGAGAGAGACAGAGAGAGAGAGAAGCAAGGATTCCGCACGCTGTACCAGAGACCAGCCGCATCCTGTGGGTCCAGGGACGACGCAGCCCGCTCCGGTCCGCATTTTTAAACAGCCCGAGACCACGTGACCACCGGCCCGCACAGCTATTGGTTCTCCGACTCCCATACTCGGCTTTGGCGCCCAAGGTTCCCCCTTCTGGACGCAACCACTGGCTCCACGCTCGGAGGGAATACGAGCCAACTTCACATTCAAGACTTTACTGAATGAAGCTTCCGACTAACCCTCAGCCAAGTTTCAGCTACAGATAGAAATTTAATAATCAAATCCACCTAAGGACGCCGGAGAAGCCTCCTTTTCTAAGACGGATAAAGCAGACCTGACCCGGACTCCCCCTACGCTTTGTTGGGAAAAGGAAGATGGTTCCGTCCGAGGCGCGGACTCCGCCTCCCGGGGCGACGCCATTTTGTTTGGCTGGCGGGACGGACTGGCGCTGAGGGGGAGGGGTACCGTAGGTGCCTCACCTGACCCCGCGGCCGCGCTCTTGTTTCTTCACGGGCGGCCCTTCTCCCCGGCTGGGGTCCCGGAGCCATGTACATAAAGCAGGTAAGGCCTGTGCGTCCCTCACACCCCTCACGGGCCCGTGAGGACCGCTCCTGGAGGCGGGGATGTCGCGGCACGACCTGCGGCCTCACCTCTCCCTGCTGAGGGGGACCTGGGGTGGACGGGGCCTGGGGGGCGGAGAGAGGCCCCGCCCCCGGAGCGCGGGGGCCGCTGAGAACTGGGGCGTCCCTGTGCAGCCCGGGCCTCTGTGCGGGGCGCTTGTTGGAAGGAGAAAGGACTTGGGGGAGGTGTGGAGGGGCCGGCGGGGCGGGCCTTGTGGAGAGATCGGGCCTTCCCGGGGGGAGGGGGGGCCGGGAGCGGGGGCGACCGGGGAGCTCGGGGTCCTGCGGGGAGAACCCCGCGCGGGTCATCCGCTGGCGTGTGTGGAGATGCCCGGGGGCGCCCCTGGGGCACAGGGTGGGTGGGTGCCAGCTTACCCGGGGGCCTTGCTCCTCCGGGTCTGACAGGAGGAGTCGGAGGGACCTCATTCTGGCGGAAGGTGTGGCGCCGCCTCATTGTTGACTCCTGTCAAAACGCCTTCCCGCGCCGGAGCCCGCGCGGTGCAGAGCCCGTCCGCGGTCCACGGGCGAGCGTCCCTGTTGGCGGCGCTGGGCTCTCAGCGCCCCCTTCCCGCGACGCCTCCCTTTGGGGGGCTGTCCCGTGTTCCCCTCGGACTCAGGAGAGCGGGGACCAGCCTGCCTGCTTGACGCATGTTGACGTGAGCCCTTCAGGTTGCGGCTCCGGCGCCCGTTGACTGGGTGCGTGGTGACCGGACGCCGCTTGTTCTTGTCATCGCCGCTTTCCACAGTGAAATCTTCTGAGGAGAAATCGACAGTTTCCTGTCTTGAAGGAGACACCAGAGAGGGCAATAAGTGCAAAAGAAAACGTTTTTAGAAGTTTGCATTTCTTTGTGTGTGTTCTGAAAACAAAAAAAATCTCTTTTTTATTTATTTGCTAGGTTATCATCCAGGGTTTTCGGAGTTACAGAGATCAGACAATTGTAGATCCCTTCAGTTCAAAACATAATGTGATTGGTAAGTGTTCGTGTTTAAATTCTGCCTGTACCTGGGCTGATGGAGACGAAATTATCTCTGCGTATACATAACTGTATGTCTTTTTTTTCCGTATGAAATGACTTATTTGTCTTCTGTCTGCACCGATGAATTGCTTATTTTACACATTTAAAGAGTTTGAGTAAGGCAGGCGCACATTATTTGGGTATACTCCCGTGTGTGTGTTTGCAGAGCTTTTAAGTTGATAGTGAACGGCACTAACTTTCGTGTCATTTTGCAGTTAAAATGCTCACTATGGCCCATTTCAAAGATGACCATGCTTTTTCACAAATGACATTGTTCTCAAATTTCTTGCCTCCCTGTCATAATGTCTGAGGATAGACCACAGAGCTTGGTGGGAAGGTCGTGAACTTTGGAGCAGAATTGAATGGGATTCGAATCCCAGTTCTGGCTTGTGCCCTTGTTCACTCCTGACTCCCCGAGGGCTTCGGTTTTCTCATTTGTGAAGTGGAGGTAATGACCCATTCATGGGGCTGTTGGGGAGCGTGAATGACAGAGCAGCTCTGCAGGAGATGGAGGGCCAGTGGTGATGGCACTGCAGCAGTCAGTCTCCAGGGCCTTCTGGTGGTGATGCTCTTGTGCTCAGAGCCAGCACAAGTGACTTTTGATGTTCTGAGTTTTTAGATGTAAGTTACGTATATCATGGAACTTTACCTCAGACTTCAATGCAAACTTCCTAAGAAAAGGGATACTCTTGCATAATCATAGTGTACTTAATCCACTGAGTAAACTTAACATCAATGCAGTCATTTGCTGTTCATTTTCCAGTTAATTGATTGACCCAGAAATGCTCTTTTTGGCATCTCCCCCCTTCCTCCAAAAGGATCTATTTAGGATCAGGCATTGCATTTAGTTGTCATGTCTCTTTAGGTTCCTTTAAGGTGGATCCTTTCCACAGTGTTTCTTTGTCTTTTATAACATTGTTTTATTAAAATATTGTGTCATCTGCCTTTTACTGATGTTACTTTTTTTTTTTTTTAAATATATTTTATTGATTTTTTACAGAGAGGAAGGGAGAGAGAGAGAGAGTTAGAAACATCGATGAGAGAGAAACATCGATCAGCTGCCTCCTGCACATCTCCTACTGGGGATGTGCCCGCAACCCAGGTACATGCCCCTGACCGGAACCGAACCTGGGACCCTTCAGTCCGCAGGCTGACGCTCTATCCACTGAGCCAAACCAGTTTCGGCACTGATGTTACTTTTAATCACTCAGTCAAGGTAGTGTCTAATTTTTCTACTGTATAGTTAATGTTTTTCCCATGCAACTAATAAATACTATGGGAATGGGGAGATGCTTTTGGAACATGCAAAGATGGTGATCTTTATAAAAATTTTCCTCTACATTTTGTGTCCGTTAATAATTTTTTTTTTTTTTTTAATATATTTTATTGATTTTTTACAGAGAGGAAGGGGAGAGATAGAGAGTTAGAAACATCGATGAGAGAGAAACACCGATCAGCTGCCTCCTGCACATCCCCCACTGGGGATGTGCCCACAACCCAGGTACATGCCCTTGACCGGAATCGAACCCGGGACCCTTCAGTCCGCAGGCTGACGCTCTATCCAGCGAGCCAAACCGGTTTCGGCCGTTAATAATTCTTTATTCTGATGGTTTCAAATGATTTTTTTCCATTTCCAGTATTCCTTTCACATTTACCATGATCAACTAAGAGTCATTCCTTCTTGGTTGCTTATCTTTTTATTGTCAGTATAAACTCATGGATTATTCCCCCCAGCACTAATTTCTAGTTCTAATTATTATGGTACCATGTTGTCCTAGATTTAACTAGTGGAAGCCACTTCAAGCTGGCCTCTGTGTCTGTTATATGCCTCTTTTTAAAAACACTTCATTACTTTCTGGCATAAATGATCTCTTTAGGATTTACTTTGTAGTAAAGTGATAACTTTGAGGCTAAATTGTTCAGCATATTTTGGTCAAGATTAAGAATCTTAATGAAAATGTTTCAAAGCAAAACACTCAAATGAATTCATTAAACTTGAAACATTTGATACCCTTTTATGTATAGGATTGCTTATTTCTGAATTCAGATAGAAAAAACAATGCCTTACAGTTGTCTATACTTTTATGAGTATGAAACTACATTAATATATATTAATATATATCATATTAATATATGATATTAATAATATAAATTGTTTAACATGTGAGAAGTTGGAGAATTTGAAATAATTCAAGTATTTTTAAAAATGTAATATGTGAATCTTTACATTATTAAAAAATACTTTATATACAATTAAAATAGAATTACTGTGCATTGTAATGATTATAAATTATAATAGCCAGGCAGTGTATTTAGTTATTTTTATCTAAACTATTGGGAAAGGGCAAAAATATCAACAATGAAATTATTTTCTTTAAAGAAAAAGATATCTGAAGTCTATATAAAAATTGTACTCATTTGGTGATTAAAGCTGTTTTGTTTATTGATTTCTTTTGTTCACTGTTCTGTTGTATTTAATATATATTAAGATGTTATGCTAGAAACTTGGATTTATAAATTTTCTAATACAGTAAAGTTTTAATTTTATAGTTTCTTATACAAAATAACATATACTTTTTGAAATTTTGTAGTGGGCAGAAATGGATCTGGAAAAAGTAACTTTTTTTATGGTAGGTATTGTTTTTTGCATTCTAAATATATTAAAACCTAGGTATCTTAAGATAGTTCATTTTGAGATTATGTCTGCATGAAATCCAAGAAATACTTCTTCATACAGGGTTGTAGTTTAGAGAGTTAAGAGTGTAAGGACCTGAGTTCTACTCTATACCTAGTGATTAATGAGCTCTGTGAGACTGGGCAAAACACTTAGCCTCTCAAATTACTCTTTTCACTTTAGGAACAGAGATTTTCACCCTGCCTGCCTTAGATGAGTTGTGTGGATTACAAACTTGCAACCGAGATACCTGCCCTTGACCAGAAATCGAACCTGAGGTTCGATGCTCTAACCACTGAGAAAACCAGCCAGGGCTCTAAACCAATTATTATTATAAAGGATGGAGGGGTGTAAAAACTTTGTTAAATCAACAGACTATTATCAATTTGCAGATAGTAAATAGGACTTTGAAAATTATCTTTAACCCTTTTCGGTCCAACCTCGAGGATGACTCGACAGACCAGGCGCTAGGAGCAGGTCCAACGTCGAGCAATAAGAACATTAAAAAGTTCAACATTCAGTCCCGTCAATTAATTTGGACCAGACTGTTTGAATTCCAAAAATAACATTGGACTGCAAAGGGTTAAAGATAAAATGCATTTAAGTATAGTAATGCCTCTGTCAGCAAATCCTCTGGGCAGAAAAAATCATGTTAACAGAATTAGACTATATAAGGAGTGAGTTGGAAAATTTTTGAACCTCTTAGTTGGGTAGTATTTGAGGAAAAGGGTGGGTTTAGAAAAGCAAAAGTTCTATCCTGTCTGCTTGTAAAACTAAAAGGTATTACTCTATATCTTATCAGTGTAGTAATTTGGGGATGGTAGGAGAGTGGCTTGGAGTGGAAATGAGTACTTCATAATCTCGGGAATGAGGGCAATTTAAATTCATTTTCCTTCCACCCCCCCACCCCTAAGGTGATTATAAAAGACAGCCAGTCCTCACCTTCACCCCCATTCGTGCATACACATACACACTGTCAAAGGTCTTTTGGGTGGACTGGGAACAGAACAACTGGGTAAAGAGTTCCATTTCTAGATCAGGGTGGTCCATTTAAGTGCTCTACATGGAAGTAGGAGTGACTCCTTGTCGAAGCAGTTGAGTAGAAGGTGGGAATCTGAAACATTTCCCTATATATATATGTTTTTAAATTTTTATCTTTTTAATATTTTATTGATTTTTTTACAGAGAGGAAGGGAGAGGGACAGAGAATTAGAAACATTGATGAGAGAGAAACATCGATCAGCTGCCTCCTGCACACTCCGCACTGGGGATGTGCCTGCAACCAAGGTACATGCCCTTGACCAGAATCAAACCTGGGACCCTTCAGTCTGCAGGCTGACGCTCTATCCACTGAGCAAAACCGGCCAGGGTTTATCTTATTTTTTAAAAATATTTTTTTATTGCTTTTCAGAGAGGATGGGAGAAGAGAGAAATAGAAATGTCAGTGATGAGAGAGCATTATTGATGAGCTGCCTCCTACACGCCCCCTTCTAGGGATTGAGCCCATAACCCAGGCATGTGCCCTGACCGGGAATTGAACCGTGACCTCCTGGTTCATAGGTCCATGTTCAACCACTGAGCACACCAGCTAGGCAACCTTTTGGTGCACTGGACCACACCCAGCTAACTGAGCCACACCATCCAGGGCATTTCCCTATATTTTTACTTAGATCTATTTCTTTTGACAAAGTATCCAATTAAGGATATTGTAGGAATGTATTCTAATTTGTTAATAAGTAATATGTAACATTTATATCTAGTGGGTAAAAGCAAATATAATGTTAACCTAACAAGTCAGTGAGTACTTTAAGAAGAAGTAGACCTTAGTTCTGCTTGTCTCTTCCGTTACCTTTGTATTTTCTTTTTATTTTATTACCTTAAATGTTTCAGTGAACACTTTAAAAAAATATTTTATTGATTTCAGAGAAGAAGGGAGGAGAGAGATAGAAACATCAGTGATGAGAGAGTCATTGGTCGACTGCCTCCTGCACACCCCACACTGGGGTTTGAGCCCACAACCCTGGGCTTGTGCCCTGACCAGGAATCGAACTGGGACCCCCTGGTTCATAGGTCAACACTCAACCACTGAGCCATGCCAACCAGGCTCAGTGAAAACTTCTTAATAGT